CAGCTTTAATAATGACTAGTTTTGATTCTCTCTTTGGACACTGAAATAAAATACCTTCCTGCTCATAACACACCTGTGCCTAATCCTGGACACCTGACTCCTTGAGAAAAATGAGACATTTCTGATGTCTTGAAACATCTGAATAGCTTCCAGGAAAAGGAGAAATGTTTTTAAAAACTATCCAACGGCCATTCTGATATGTGTGAAGTAATATCTCATTGTGGTTTTAATTTGCATTTCTTTGACAATCAGTGACATTGATCATCTTTTCATATGTCTATGCGCCATTTGTATAGCCTCTTTAAATAAGTTTCTATTCAGATCCTCGGCAAACAAAATAGAAATGGACTCATAGATACAGAAAACAGAGTGACAGCTGTCAGGGAAGAGGTGGGTTTGGGGACTAGGTGAAAAAGGTGAAAAGATTAAGCATAGGGAAAAAAAACTTAAAAGACCCAGACCAGAGGGAAAGGGGGATATAGGAAGGTAAAAGGGGGGATAAATGCTGATGGAAAGAGACTTGAAACCTATACAATGTTATTAACCAATGTCACCCCAATAAACTCAATTATAAAATCTCTGCCCATTTTTAAATTAGATTTTTTTTATATACTGTTGAATAGTATGAGATTTTTAAAAAATAAATTTTGGATATTAACTCCATATCTGATATATCATTGGCAAAAAATGTTCCTTCATTTAGTAGGTTGTCTATTTGTTTTTAGTATGGTTTCCTTTGCTGTGCAAAAACTTTTTAGTTTGATGTAATCCCATCTGTTTATTTTTCTTTTGTTTCCCTTGCGTGAAGGTATTTATCAGAAAAAAAGTATTGCTAAAGGAACTGTCCCAGATTCTAAGGCCTATGTTTTCTTCTAGGATTTTTCAGTATCTCCACAAATGTCAAGCCTGCTCTCTCCAGCTCCATGGCCGCCACTATTTTTCTTGGGATTTACCTTCTATAATTGAAACTTTGTATCCTTGAGTGGAGGCCCAGGCGGCCAGGGTGTGTGGAAAGCTTGGTTTCTTTGTCAGGGAAACCCAAGCCTCTCAACTGCTCTATTTGCCTGCAGCCATATTGGTTGGGGTTAATTTGCATACTTGCTCCGATTGGCTGGTGGGCATGGCTGGTGGTGTGGCTTGAGTGAAGTGATGGTTCAATTGCATATTACTCTTTTATTAGATAGGATTAGGAGCCCAGTACAAGATTCTAAATCACAGAGCCACCCACCCTTGACTCCTGCCCTGCCTCCCTCCCTGGACCCCGCAGCAGCCAAGGCCGCTGCTGATAAGACCCTCCCTCAGTGCAGGTGCATGGAGGCCCTGCCACCCCACTCTCGATGCTGCACATGCAACCTCCTTCTGTCAGGTCGACCCATTATGGCATCCCAGTTAATTAGCATATTTCTCTATTTTATATACATATATATGTATGTTTATAAATATATTTTTATGTATGTAAATAAATATATATTTATTTCTACAGAGGCCAACTGGACAGCTAGTCCCAGGATATAACACAACCTCCATCATTGCCTTGTGACTCTGAGACTGGTCTCCAAGGACCATACTCAGATTTCAGCATCAGAATGGAAGCCATGTCTAACCTTGCACCCCACTGCTTGAAGATTCCAGCAGCTGTTTGGTTTAGAAGATAAAAGGTTTAAGTTGAGAGTACAAAGGAAGGTGCTGAATTTAGGTCACCATCTTCCCAGAATCTACCGCTCCCATCTGTCCAGCTGTTTTAATGGAGAATCCTCAGCAAAATGGAATATTTTTTAAAGTTGACTGAGTGCCTTCCTAAAGGGTAAAGCTCACAAACTCAAGCAGATACCTCCAAAAATAACCAATATAAAAACCCTCAACTTTCATTTGAATCTACTTTAGGCAATAGTCTAAATACTGTAATTAGATTTTAGAAGAGATTGAATTAAGAGACTTGGAGGAACATCTTTTAAGATGTTATACTTACATGAAGAGCAGAGGAAAGGGAAGGAATAGGAAAGGAATCTTTAATGAATGTTTACCATACTTAAGGTACTTCACATTATTTTTTAATCCTGAAAATAACTCTGTAATAAGACATGGCTATCCCATCTTAAGGAGGGGATACAGTAAACTGAGGCTCAGATAGTTTACTTTGTTTACCCAAGTTCATTCACACCTGCCCAAACCCAAGGTCCACAGTTGTTTATCTGATACTGAATATCAGAAAACAAACAAAAACAATCATCATTACTGTGCTATTATTAGCTATATTTTATTTTTATTTTTATTGTTAGTGATTAAAAAGAGTTTGTGTTTTATCTTCTGAGCCAGCAGGATAGTTAAGGAGCCTGGGAGGAGGGAAAAGAGGGGTGGAGTGGGGATAAAGGGAGAATAGACCATAGCAAGTAAAGAGAACAAGAGGGTCAGTCGGTGCTTGTTGGACAAAGAGCATGGTGACTTCATGACTTTGCACTATGGCTGCTGCTTCTCCCCAGCCAGGAACTGGAAGAAAGGCAAACAGGCAGGAAAGCTTGTATGCTCCTCCCCTACCTCCCACATATCTGAGCCTACCACCCTAAACTGAAGCCCCTCCCCTCCTTTTTAAAAAAAATGTATTTCTTTATTGATTTCAGAGAGAGGGAGAGAGAGATAGAAACACCAATGAGAGTCATTGACCGGCTGCCTCCTGCACACCCCTACTGGGGATTGAGCCTGCAACCCAGGCATGTGCCCTTGGCTGGAATCGAACCTGGGACCCTTCAATCCAAAAGGCCAATGTTCTATCCACTGAGTTAAACCAGATAGGGCTAAAGCCCCTTTCTTTTGCTCTTCCTTCAGTTAGTCTCCAGTTATACCCCTCTCACCCCCTCTCCATTTCCTCTTCTTGTCATTCTGTTTGAGAGCCCAAGTTGATGCTACTTGTGAAGAGACACTGAAGAGTAGCATTGAAGATGCACAATAAAGACCACCTCCAGTCTGAAGTGAAAACAGGAACCTGAACAACTTTATCTCCTTTCCCTCGGAAGTTTTTAAAAGCCTTCCCCTTACTGAAATGCTTCTAATTAAAAACATTTCTCCTCAAGAACTAACAGTTAAGTTTTTTGTTTTTGTTTTTATCTTCCAAGAAATGCCTGGTCAGCGTGTGTGGCTGAGTGGTTTAGCATCTACCAATGAAACAGGAGGTCATGTTTTGATTCCCAGTCAAGGAGCATGCCTCAGTTGCAGGCTCCATCCTCAGTGTGCAGCATACAGGAGGCAGCCAATCAATGATTCTCTCTCATCATTGACGTTTCTATCTCTCTTCCTTTCTGAATTAATAAAAAAAATTTTTTTTTTTTTAATCCTCTAACAAGTGGATTTATAAGTGAATTTTTGAAATGCAACTGTTTCTAAGTTGAGTTCTGTCTTTATCCTGTCCGGGTTAATGAGAAGTTAAATGCTATACTTAAAATGTTCAATACTTTATAGGATTTGCTACCGATATTATTTAACTTATGAAGGATAAGTTTTTCTTTCATTTATTTATTTTTTGTTCTTTTAAATTGTTTAACAATTGAGAAAAAAGTCAAAGTTAAGGCATTTTATAGTAATGAAGTTCTAACATTTACTAACAAAAAACTATTTGAAAATTTACAAAGCCTTTATAATTATACAAATTGCTAATCCTATCTAATAAAGAGGGAATGTACTAATTGACCCCCATGCTGTTGAAAATTTGGTGATGCCCACAGCCAATAAGAAAGGAATATGCTAATTGATTGCCCCTCCCTCAAAGATGGCGGCACCCACAGGCACAAGATGGTGGCACCCAGTCCCCTCAGCCCCACTGGGGTGGCAGGCATGCATCTGCAGCCAGAGTTTCCTAGTTCCCTCAGCCCCCCAGCCTCCTAGGGCCAGCCCAAAGCACAGGCAAGCCTCAGATTTTGGCTACACAGCTTCCCAGGCTTGGCCCAAGGCACAGGCAAGCCTTGGATGGTGGCTGCCCAGCTGCCAAGGGCTGCCCGAGGCTTAGGTAACCAGGACCGGCCGAGGCTTGTGCTGCTGGCAGTGGCAGCAGCAGAGGTGTGATGGGATGGCAGAAGCCAGTTCCAGCACATCATAATTGCAAGAGTTTCATCAAAAGATTGATGGAACTTGGGGACTCAACAAGGGCTGAGTCACATATGTTATCACCTGTTGGAATGGCTAAAGGCATTTCCCCAAACCTGAAAAAGATTTGAATAGATGATTGTTTGCTGCCAGACAGCTCAGGGCATCTTAATCTATGTTATTGCCTCCTACTGGCCAAACACATGAACAGCCGTAGGTTATTCCCCAATCTGACAATGTTTCTGCACAGAAACCCTGGCCTTTGAAGTGTATATCTCCACCTTGACTTAGGATACATTATGTTAATAAAAAGTAAGGGTTCTGGAGACAAAGAGAACTTAGCTCCTTTAGCTAAAGCCCCTCTGACCCCCAATGCCTTTCAAAATTATTTTTCATCTCTGGACTCTTGCTTCAGTTACACCTGGCCTTTCTCCAAATTGCTGTATCCTTCTTAGTTCTGGAGCAAGAACCCGGCAATGGGGCATCGCCTTCCCCTGATCGCCTGGTGGCCTCCCACCCCTGAGGGCTCCCAAACTGTGAGAGGGGGCAGGCTGGTCTGAGGGACCCCACTCCAGAGCATGAATTTTCATGCACCAGGCCTATAGTGTAAAATATTTTTCAAGGATTATCCACAATGCTGATACGATTAATTACAAATACATCAGATTAATGTTACATTTATTTTATTTTACTTTCAATTATAGAGCAAAATTATCGATGTTATTTGGCTTCCAATAGTGAATGTCCAGAATCAGTCTGACATTCTTGGTCCAAACCAAACTTTACTGGAGGAATGCTGGTGATTAAGGACCAAATTGGGGTAATAGAAATTCATGAACTAATTCTCTTGTTAATATTATTTCTTAATTTTGTTCTTTTATCTTGTGAAAACATTTTTTTTCTTAAACAGAGTTCTATTGATTTATAACTCCAATTTATATGCCATCCATTAGAACAGTACTATTTAGACAAGAATTTCTTCTATGATCTTGAAACTTTGTTCTTTGCTTCTTGTTACTCAAGTATTACCGCAAAAAATATTTTATGAGGCATTTAATTTTCACTTGACAAGGTTAGCAAATCATCCAGTGGAGTTACAGTTTGTATTATATGGACTTGGAGTTTGTTTTTTAAAGGCTTTGAACAACATTCGACAGGTGAAGCACTGAATTTGCTCGTTGGTTTTACTGTAGACAACATTCTTTCAAATTTGCCAATTTTAGCACTTGTTTCTTCAATGACAGTTTTACCAAGTAAACCTACAAATGTTTTTGTTAGGCTGGAAAAAGGCTCTGAGAAATTATAGGATTTCTCAGATATGTTTTTGGATGTTTGCGCAATACTTTTCTTTAGTTTATCTTCTATAACTCTGCAACCCATTTCAAAAGATATCACTTGCATACGCTTCCTCCATGCTGTAGGCATGGTTCTTTTAGGTTTGGAAGAAGTAATCCTTTGATTATTAGTTACAGGTTTGAGAATTTCACGATTTCTTTCTAAAACCAAATTTACTCTTTTCTGTGGTTCACTGATTTTATTTTCCATAAATTCAAGCAGAAACCTATTTCTTGTCAAAAGAAACATTTGTACATATCTAGTCTCATGAAAAATTATGGGATTTGTATCATTTTGTTCCTGTGAATTAAAGAAAAGAGTACTTAATCATCAGTCTATTGAGGCAAAAAGGCTACATATATTTTTAAACATAAAATAAAATACTCAAAAAAGATAATAGGAGTTTTAAATATGAACAATAGTGATATTCAAACACACCCACAAAAACAAGTACTTGTATGTGTCATACTTTCTTCTCTTCTTAATATTTTACCAGGATGTTAGGATTAAAAATCTGTTAGGATTAAAAGCTTTGGGCCTTCTAAAACCCTTTTACAAATAAGGTGGGATATTGGTAGAACAAATCATCATTCTGACATTTCTTAGATTTCCAGTTCAGAAATAAGCACATAAAAAAATGGATTGAGTAAAAGGTCATAAGAGATATAAGTGATTATAAACCCAAACTACAAAGCCTGGATATCCTAGTAAATAATTCAGAAAAATCTAAAATTATCTTTAAAACAGTTATATTTATTATTGTACCCCAACAGTTAACACATAAAAAGTGCTCAATACCCGAAGTTTGGCTCAGTGGTAGAGGTTGGTCTGCGGACTGAAAGGTCCCGGGTTCGATTCCGGTCAAGGGCATGTACATTGGTTGTGGGCACGTCCCCCATAGGGGGTGTGCAGGAGGCAACTGGTCGATGTTTCTCTCTCATCAACGTTTCTAGCTCTCTATCTCTCTCCCTTCCTCTGTAAAAAAAAAAAAAAAAAAAAAAACCTCAATAAAATATATATTTTTAAAAAAAGTGCTCAATATATATCTGCAGAATAAAGTAGCTAAAATAATAGATTGACTTTAAAATAGACTATTTTTATCACAGTAGTAACACAATATGTATGTACAAGCTTCTCATGAAACTCTTCCCCACATTTCTATTCTAGAGCAAAAAAATTAACTCTAAGGAAACTGTTAAATATAAATGTTATCAGTGTTTAGTTTACAATAACTGCTACTTTTTCTTTAGATATCCTATATAATAAAAGGGTAATATACTAAATGTCTGATATTCACTCAACCGTTTGACCAGTTGCTATGATGTGCACTGACCACCACGGAGCAGATGCTCCGACTGGTAGGTTAGCTTGTTGCTGAGGTCTGGCCAATTGGGACTGTGTGAGGCAGGCCAGACACAACCTGGAATGCTCCCACGGACCCTCTCCAGCCCCAATCTTGCACTGGTGTGGTCCCCCTGACGGCCTGCACCCTCTCACAATCTGGAATCCCTTGGGGGATGTCGGAGAGCTGGTTTCGGCCCGATCCCTGGAGGCCCACCGGTGCATGAATCTGTGCACCTGGCCTCTAGTATAATCCTATATAATAAAAGGCTAATATGCAAATTGACTGAATGGCAGAACGACCAATTGTTGTGATGCATACTGATCACCAGGGGACCCATGCTCAATGCAGGAGCTGCCCCCTGGTGGTCAGCACGCTTCCACAGGGAAAGCGCTGTTCAGCCAGAAGCCAGGCTCATGGCTGGTGAGTGCAGTGGCCATGGCCAGAGTCTCTCCTGCCTCCAAGGCAGCGCTAAGGATGTCTGACTGTTGGGAAGCGGGCCTAAGCCATCAGTTGGACATCCTCCCAAGGGCTCCTGGACTGCTAGAGAATGCAGGCTGGGTTAAGGGGACACCCCTCCTCACCTTGAGTGTATGAATCTCATACTCTGGGCCTCTAGTTATTATAATAAAATAAGAAACTAAGATCTATCTAATTATATATTAGTACACTTAGTTTAAAGACATGTTAATGCCTATGATTTCCTTCAAAATGACAGAATATCGAGTTTTGCAATCCATTGGTGATGCCAATGTTGTCCACTTCAGTAGTGGAGATGTGTCATATTTTTGTTCTGTCCAATATGTTAAAGGAATTTTTCACCTTTCAAATCTATGTGCCTTTAGGGAGAAGCAGGCACTGGTTGTATCAGCCTCTCTTGAGCTTAGGGCATAGGCATGTGACCTGGGCTCTATCAGTAAGGTATATCAAAGACAAGTCTTTAATTCAAAAAAAGCAAGGACTATGAAAAAATATTAAAGCTATTTTAGTGAGGATGGTGATAGATAGATATATCTATAGCTTTGAAGGGCAGCAGTGGCAAGGGTCTTTGAAAGAGTGTCCCCTGCCCAGAATCAGAGTTGTTAACTGTCATAGGTGACAATAGCATGGGCCCCAGTGGAGCAGTTTGAGGCTGTAACTTGGTGACTTTTGACTACTCAGCTTTCAAGCCAGTCTGTCTTTCCAGCCTTCCTAGAGATTCTGTGAGCTGCCAAATAGCCTTTAGTAAGTAGATTTTCTGCTTGAAATAGCTGACGTACATTGACAGAAAAGTGATGCATGATCCACTTTTTTAAAAAAAATACCATTTTTATTTCATATTTCCTTACAATCAAGAAAATTTGATAAAGCCTTCTTCATTTGAAAGCATGTGGAATGTTCAGCTGGTGCAGAGGAATCCCCAGTTTGGGAGTGAAGGTTTTAAAAAGAGCATTAGGACTTTAAAGTGTGTGAAATCAAAAGAAGGATTTACCAAAGATTCTGGTCACTAGAACATGATATTCCCACAAATCGTGGAATACACACATTTACTGAACAGCAGTAGATATTCTTATTACCTTGTGAACAGATATTCTTATTACTGTCTTTGCAGGACTAATGTTGATTATCTTGGTGTTTGGCTTTTTCAATTCATCCTCCAAGCATAAGGGTAGCAAGCTTTTCGTTCCTTCTGAATGATATTCAATTCTGACAGATTTATTTTCTTTTGAACAAAAATGAGCTTTTTTTCTGAAAATGAACATAAGTTCAGCATAAATGTCTATAGGGATGATTTCAGCTTGCCAGTTTTTGTCTGCCCCAATTCCTCAAAGTCTCTGCCAACATCTCCCCCAAACTCTTTGCTATAGATAAGTCAAGACATGGCTTCCTGCCTGGTTTGGGGAAAAAGGGGAGATGGAGGAAGGGACAGGAAAAGTGGTGGAAGCAAGACAGTAATCTGTGTGTCTCTTTGGTTTTTCATTGGGGGAAGGAATAGTATGTAGGTTGAGAACACCAAAGATAGAGAGGTATTTCCACATCCTTTGTTGAAATTCTGGGAGAAAGTGCTTTGTAGGATGGCTTCTGCCAACATAGGGTGGCCCCAGCTTTGTTAACAGGATGGAATAGTGTGGTTAGACAGAGAGGATATAAATAATCTCCCTTGGTTCTCAAGTGGCATGGACACTGAGTTTAGGCTTGCCAAGAAGCTTGTCACTGCAAGGATGGGGTAATCCATAGCAAGGGCTTGGCATATGTGATGGACAATCAAAGAGCAGATGAAGGAGATGGAAGAGACTCAGAAAGTCCTACCATACTGATGAACAGTAAGAGTGGACTGTATCAAATTCAGAGAGAATAGACCATATGTACATGAACCAGAGATAGCAGTAGTCACAGAACATCTAGGAATGAGACCAGTAGTACAGGATATTGACAATGACCCTTGGTCAAGTACCTTTCCTCAGTCAAAGTCCAGTGAGCCCCTCACTCATCTACTCAGATACAATTTTGGAAAGAAAGAGGACTGAGGTAAACCTAAAGAGACTAAATATTATTGCTCCAAACAAATTTCAAAGCACACTGGATTAAGATGATTATATTTTCATTACACAGTGTTTGAGGAATCTCAACTATTGTAGTCTCTCCATTTATTCTACTATGTCTTTCTCTCCATTTGACTATAAACTTGCAGTAGATAAGTCATATGTTCAAGGTTCGCATGTAATGCTGACTAGCTGAGAAGTCTAGGATCAGCCATTGGATTGTAGTATGAGTCTAAGTAGTAATAAGCCAGAATAAATCCATTCTGGTCTTTTAGAAAATGAAAGCAGAACTTTTCCTATTAGAAACATCTTTGAACAGAATGAAATATTTAAAAATTTAAAATAAATTACCTTTTATATGCATAATCTTTTAAGTAGACAACAGAACCAAATGATTCCTTAGGTTTTTTTTCAGTTTGAGCTGAAATTATAAAAAATTGTCATAAAAGGCACATATATATTATGACATTTAGAAAATACCTTATATAAATATTTTACAATATAAAATAACATAGAAAAACACCAGGTTTTGTGCCTTACCTGTAGTAGTTACTCAGTCAAAATTTCTTTTTTTTAAATCTATCTTTACTGTTGAAAGTATTACAGATGTCCCCTTTTATTTTATTTATTTATGCCAGAAGCCAGTTCCAGAATGTCATAACTGCAAGAGTTAAATCAAAAGGTTGATGGAATTTGGAGACTCAACAAGGGCTGAGTCACATATTTTATCGCTTATTGGGAATGGCTAAAGGCATTTCCCCAAACCTGAGAAGGATGATTGTATGTTGCTAGACAGCTCAGGGCATCTTCATCTACATGTTATTGCTTCCTACTGGCCAAACACCTGAATAGCCATAGGCTACTCCCCAATCTGACAATGCTTCTGTAAGAAACCCTACCCTTTGAAGTGTATAGCTCTACCTTGCTTTAGGACAATTTGGGTTAATAAAATGCAAGGGGTCCTGAGACAAGGAGAACTTGGTTTCTTCAGCCAGGTTCCTCTGACCTCCAATGCCTTTCAAAATTATCTTTTGTCTATGGACTCTTAGGTTATACACAGTCTTTCTCTAGATTGCTGAATCCTTCTTAATGCCAGAACAAGAACCCCGACACATTTATTTTTAAATATGTTTTTATTGCCCTGGCTGGTTTAGTTCAGAGGTTAGAGCATCAGCCCATAGACTGAAGAGTCTTGGGTTCAATTCCCACTCAAGGACATTTACCTTGGTTGCAGGTTCCCCAGCCCCAGCAGGGGCATGCCAATCAATGTCTCTCTCATGTTGATGTTTCTCTCTCTTGAAATCAAAGGGAAAAAATATCCTTGGGTGAGGATTTAAAAATTAAAATTATATATCCTATCTAACAAAGAGGGAATATGCTAATTGACTGCCACACCCTCACAAAGATGGCAGGGCCCACAGCCACAAGATGGCGACACCAGTCCCCTCAGCCCCGCCTCATCCAGCCTCAATCCCCCAGTCTCTTCAGGCCTGCTTCATCTAGCTTTAGTCCCCCAGTCCCTTCAGGCCTGCCTCATTGAGCCAGAGTCCCCCAGACTCCTCAGCCCTGCCCCCAAGGGGGGAAGGGGCACCATAGCAGGTTCCACATGCCTCATCCAACTAGAGTCCCACATCCCCTCAGCCCCGCCTCATCCAGCCTCAGTCCCCTAGTCTCCTCAGCCTCACCTCATTCAGCCAGAGTCCCCAGTCCCCTCAGCACTGCCTCATTCAGTCTCAGTCATCCAGTCCCCTGAGGCCCACCTCATCCAGTTGGAGTCCCCCAGTCCCCTCAGCCCTGCAAGAGAAGGCAGTTGGGGGTGATTGGGTTTGTAGGGGAGGGCATGTGGGGACAATCATGCAAGCAGGGGAGCAGTTAGGCAGCAATCAGGCTAGCAGGGGAGTGGTTAGGGGACTATCAGGCTGGCGGGCAGAGTGGTTAGGGACAATCAGGCAGTCAGGCAGGCAAGTGGTTAGAAGCCAGCAGTCCAAGATTGTGAGAAGGATGTTCAACTGCTGGTTTAGGCCCGATTTTGCAGGGATTTTATATATATATATATGGTTGATTTTTGAGAGAGGAAGGGATAGAAACATCAATGATGAGAGGGAATCGTTGATTGGCTGCCTCTTGCATGCCCCCTACTAGGGATTGAATTACAACTCTGGCCAGGAATCAACCATGACCTCCTGGTTCATAGGTAGATACTGAACCACTGAGCCATACTGGTTGGGCAGATTTTCTTTCTGTTTAAAAAAAAAAAAAAAAAAATCCTCACTCAAGGACACATTCATTGATTACTTTATAGAGAGCAGATGGGAGATAGTGAGACCAACTGAGTACCAACAAAGGTGGTTAAAGGTTTTCTTAATGCTTATGCCTAAAAGTTAGGTGCAATTAATTTTCAGTTATTTCAACATTAACACACAGTGTGTATACCTGTAAATGAAGCAGCAACTTTTTTCTTCTTATAAGCATCAGATTGAATGCTGGGCATAGAAGAAGAGATTGTAGAACCCGATGTTCTTTCATATTCTTGTCTATATTTATGGTGTGGAAATAGATACCGTAAGGGCTTAGCATAGTCTACCTAAAATTCAGGGAGAGGAAAAAGGAAAAAAATTTTTTAGAAATAGTTTCCATGTGTATATTGGTTATTTATACTTGCTTATTTGCCTTTGGAATATCTAATTATGATGACTAATAGCTTTCTAGTTCTTTAAATACTTTAAAATATGTTTTCTTAATTCTCAAAAAAACAAAACAAAAAACCCTGTGAGATGGGTGTTATTATCATTTATAGGTAAGGAAACAAATGTACAGAAATTTAAAAATTTGCCCATGCTCATACTTACTAATTTTTACTATCTCTATCTTTAAAACCTAGCCTTTTAATCCATATAAAACTTATTTATCCAAGTGTAGGGAAAGTCTGAAGTTAAAATACTGAGAAACAAATAGCCTTCTCAATTTAAACAGAGGCTTTACTTGTTCATACATAGAGTTAATACAGCAAAATAACCCTGAGTAAAGGAGGAGAAACTGGAACAAATTATCCAGATTTCCCTAAATTAGAGTCTCAGATTGGCTCCATATGTTTTTACTTAAATACACATATCTAGATGCCCAAAACATACATATGCATATGTAAATATAAACTATAATTTATGAATCTTCATCAACAAGCCAAATATGTATTTAGCACCCACAATTGTTTTTCACACTAGGCACAGAATATATGTAGTTCTGGATAATATATGATAAAAATAAAGCATATGATAAAAATATAGGCCACAAAGAACTCACATTAAAAAAAATTTTTTTAAATAGATTTTTATAGAGAGGGAAGGAGGAAGAGAGAGAGAAACATTGATCAGTTGCCTCCGGAATGCACCCCAACCAGGGATTGGACCCAAAACATGGATATGTGCCTTGACAGGAATTGACCCTGCCATTTTTTCGTGTATGCAAAGATGTTCCAGCTGACTGAACCACACTGGCTAGGGTGAGCTCACATTCTTATTGGATAGCTATGATTAGCATACATGAAACATATATACTTAGACTAGGGTTTTCACAACCAGACGGAAGACCGATCTAGGCGGGAGCTCTGTGCAAGTGCACTGGGCCCCCTGCCAGGAGCGGGGAAAGCAGAGAATGGATAGGAATGGTCCAATTGCGTGTGGCTGGGCGGCCTTGGGGGTGCAGATGGATGGACTGCGCTGGACGGACCATGTTGGACGGCGCTGGCAGGTTGCGAGGAGGGCCTCAGAGGTACTGAGCTGTTAGGGCGGTGGCCTGCGGGGTCAGCAAGGCGGGGGTGCCAGGTAGGCCCCAGGTTCTTGGGCGCTGCCAGGGGAGTATGGCCATCCAGAGTGGGAGAAAAAGCCCTTCTTTCCGGAAGAACAAGGATGGTTTAAACGTGCAGAGAGAAATTGCGGCAGTACCGACATGGCTATGTGAGTCCCCCAGCTGCCTGTTGATGCCCAACTGCGGGGTTCACTGTGGGGCGTAGGCCTGGATGTGGGCCAGGACGTGGCCTTGGCAGCCGGACTCACCCCTGGCGTTCGCCTCAGCATCAGGACTTCACGATGTCACCCCAAGTGGCCATCACTGTGGTCTGTGGGTCCCAGTGAGCCGGCACCATGTGTGCTCAGGGCAGCGCTCTCTGTGTTTCCATTGAAAGCACACCGTAGCTGAAACCGGTTTGGCTCAGTGGTAGAGCGTCAGTCTGCGGACTAAAGGGTCCCGGGTTCGATTCTGGTCAAGGGCATGTACCTTGGTTGCGGGCACATCCGCAGTGGGGGGTGTGCAAGAGGCAGCTGATTGATGATTATCTCTCATTGATGTTTCTAACTCTCTATCCCTCTCTCTTCCTCTCTGTAAAAAATCAATAAAATATTTTTTTTTTTTAAAAAAGGAAAAGCACATCGTATGTGATGGGTGCTGCTGATTCCTTAAGGTTGAAACGGGGCAGCCTGAACTTGCTTACAATGCTATCTTTTCTCCGTATTTTATCTCACAGTCTCCTCAGGCTCAGGGAACTGGCAGTAACTGGAGTGCCAGCTTGGCCATCCCACACAGCTAGATGCCACCAGGAAGCACAGAAATGCCAAAGCCCCCAATGGAATCCATTGTGAAACAGACCCCAGTTCACGTACTGGAGTGGAAACAAGAAAACGGTGGCACCTGTTGGACTTCAGCTGGGACTCTGCCCGCAGGTCTGTCTACAGGGTTCCTGCACCTTGGCCATGGCCCATTTGGCTAAGGAAGCTCTGCAAGCCCTGATTCTGGAGTTATGGATCTTAGCAAGCAGGCAGGTGCACAAAGTTGGAGTCAAAAATAGCAAGGTTAGACTATGTGTGTGTGTTTGCATTTATACTCATACTAGAGGCCCAATGCACAAAATTCGTGCACGGAGTTGGGGGGTGTCCCTCAGCCCAGCCTGCATCCTCTCCAATATTGGACCCCTTGAGGGATGTTGGGCCTAAATGGGCAGTCAGACATCCCTCTCACAATCCAGGACTGCTGGCTCCCAACTGCTCACCTGCCTGCCTTCCTGATTGCCCCTAACTGCTTCTGCCTGCCAGCCTGATCACCCCCTGACTACTTTCATGCCAGCCTGATTGATACCTAACTGCTCCCGTGCCAGCCTGTTTGCCCCTAACTGCCCTCTCCTGCAGGCTTGATCACCCATAACTGCCCTCCCCTGATGGCCATCTTGTGATGGCAATCTTGTGTCCACATGGGGACAGCCATCTTTGACCACATTGGGCAGCCATCTTGTGTTGGAATGATGGTCAATCTGCATATTAATCTTTTGTTAGATAGGATAGAGGCCTGGTGCATGGGTAGGGGCTGGCTGGTTTGCCCTGAAAGGTGTCCTGGATCAGGATGGGGGTTCCCTTGGGGTGTGGGGCAGCCTGGGCGAGATGCCTGTGGTGGTTTTCAGGCCAGCCACACCACCTGGTGACCCAAGCAGAGGCCCTGGTATCTGGGGTTTATTTATCTTCTACAATTGAAACTTTGTAGCCTGGAGTGGAGCCAAGCCTTCTGCTTGCTCTGTGGTGCCAGCCATTTCTGTTGGGACTTATGTATCTTCTATAATTGAAACTTTTTAGCCTTAAGTGGAGAACTGGGCTGGCCAGGGTGTGTGGAAAGCTTTGCTTCCTCCATTGCCAGGGGCAACCCTAGCCTCCTGTTTTTTTCAGCTCCATGGCTGCTGCCATTTCTGTTTGGATTCATCTATCTACTATTATTGAAACTTTATAGCCTTGAGTGGAGGCCTAGGCCAGCAAGGGCAGGTGGAAAGCTTGGCTTCCTCCATTGCCAGGGAAACCCACGCTTCCCTCTTGCTCTCTGAGGCTGTAACCATCTTGGTTGGGGTTATTTGCATATTTGCTTCTGATTGGCTTGTTGGCATGGCTGTGGGTGTGGCTTATGGGTGTTGTGCAGTGGTGGTTATTTTGCATATTACTTTTTCATTAGATAGGATATGCGCATTTCTCCCAGTCTTTTTCTGAGCTGTTTGAGAGCATGCTCTACACTTGACAGGATGCCCAGATACTCCCCTATGTATTTCCCAAAAGCAGGCACTCCTTCATAACAATTCTCCACCCGACCATACAAGGAAATCTCCATTCAAATGGTATTAAGGTTCAATTCACAGACCCCATTTGAATTCTGACAACTGTGTCAACAATGTTCCCCACTCCCACTTCCAGAAACCCATCCACATAGGATGGATCCTCTGTCATTCCTGTTCCTGACTGTTTTTCAGTTTTAACTAAAAGTCATAGATATTTTCCCTAAAAAAATAAAATAAAAATAAAGAAAGACCCACTGGTGCTCCGAGTTAGGAGCTAGCGGTACTGTGAGGGGGATGTCTGACTGCCAGAGGGAATGGGCTTAAACTGGCAGTTGGACATCCCCTAAGAGGTCCCAGATTAAGAGGGTGTAGGCCTGGCTGAGGAACTTCCCCCATTACTGTGTACAAATTTTGTGCACTGGGCCACTAGTTAGTAAATAATGTAGTAGAGTAATATCACTAAGAATCAAACTAATCAATAAATGAGGAGACATTTAAAAAAGAGGAATATCAGTGAGGACTAAAATAGACAAAAATATTTCATCAATGAGGAAGAACTTAATACTAGGATGTGAAGATGAGGCTATTTCAAAAGCCCAAAGTATAAATAAGAAGAACAAGAAAACAGTATATTTAGAGTAGGAGGCATTCACTATTTATTGAGTATAAAAGATAAGTTTGAATAGTTAAGGAGACTTGTAAGAGAAATAGACTACAGATATGAATGTGAAACAGAAACTTTAACATAAAAATTTACTTGAGAAGAAAACCTGTTATGGTAGTTTATGATAACTAGAAGCCTGGTTCGCGAATTTGTGCACAGATGGCAGCCGGCTGGCCTGTCCTGAAGGGGGCTGATTGAATCAAGCTGGCAGGGCAAGGGGACATGGGAGGTTGGCCAGCCCTGCCCCTCATGGGGGATGGATTGAGGGAGGAGCTGGTCAGGGGGGCCACAGGATGTTGGCTGGCCAGGCCTGCCCTTGATGGGGGGAGGGAAAGAGCAATCAGGGTGGGACCTGCTGGGGAGAGGGGCCACAGCTGATTGGGGCCCTGATCGAGCTGGTTGGCTGTTGCAGTGCACATCATAGCAATTGGTTGTTCTGGTCATTCTGGTTGTTCTGGTAGTTCCAGTCACTGGGCTTTTATGTATACAGATTATATAATCTAAGTAACCATCCCATGCTCATAAATGGTCTTGGATACACGTCAGAAGATTAACAAATATATATATTTTTTCATATTTAAAATTAAACATTTAAGTGATGTGTGTACAGATTATGATGCCCTGTCTTAATCAACTTTATGGTAACTGCTAGTTCTTATCATATTTAATAAATAATTTCTATTGTACTGATTGTCCAACAAATAACATATTATTTCCTGTTATCTCCATAAAGTTTTCCATCATTACAGAGATAAAATTTTATGCTTTTGAATCCTAAAGCCCATTTGAATTTTGGATTGGTAGAATATATACAAAATTATTTGGGTTAATTTGAATTGCTATTAAGTAATTATAAGCATACAAATTAAACCTACCTCATTTGAATCCTTAAGATAAAGAAAAGATTTTTTACATCTTGGTTTTTTATTTTCTTCTACTGGTTCTAAAGAAACAAATAAAAACTTAAATGATATTTCTACACTATTAGTCTACTTTTAATTTATCTCAATAAACTATTTTCTTTACATATAGTAAAATTTTTAGAAATGTAGTTTGATAATCTTGTTTGCTTACATAGAATTGATTTCACATTTTTAGAGCTAAATATATTCTAGAATAATGTGCTTTAGAAGTGAATTTCTATTAACAGAATACAAATGTGTGTTTTTTTAATACATTTTTTTATTGACTTTAGAGAGGAAAGTAGAGGGAGAGAAAGATAGAAACATCAATGATGAGAATCAATTGTCTGCCTCCTGCATGCCCCTATTGGGGATCGAGCCTGCAATCCAGGCATGTGCCCTGATTAGGAATCGAACCATGACATCCTGGTTAATAAGTTGACACTCAACCATTGAACCACATCAGCTGGACAACAGAATAACTTTTGATTACTTACTATAATATGATAACCCCATCTCCAAATATGAGTTTATTAATCTGGTTATTATTTAATGGACTGTCTTGAAGTAGGCACAATGTAGGGTAAAACATACAGACTTTGCATTTAGATAGCCTGGGACCCAAACTACATTCCTTTATGTGAGTTAGGCAGCCTTAGGGAAGTTACTTAATCCCACCAGGTCCTCACCTTTTAAGTGGAAATGGTAGTCCTTATCTTAATAGGGATGCTGTGAGACTTAAATGAGATTTTTAAAAAATAGATGTAATAGCCGAAGTCAGTTTGGCTCCGTGATAGAGCATCAGTCTGTGGACTGAAAGGTCCCAGCTTCGATTCTGGGCAAGGACATGTAAGTTGGTTGCGTTCACATCCCCTGTAGGGGGTGTGCAAGAGGCAGCTGGTCGATGTTTCTCTCTCATTGTTTCTTGCTCTCTACCCTTCTCTCTTCCTCTCTATAAAAAAAATCAATAAAATATATTTAAAAAATAAAATAAAATAAAAATAGATGTAATAAACAAATATAGTGTGTGGTATTCATTCAATCAATGGTTATTTGTTGACCACATACAATATGCCAGGCACTGGTGCTAGACTCTGGAATGCTAACTCCTGCCTAATGATGCGTACATTTTAGTGGGTAATGCAGAAAATAAACAAGAGACAATGAAGCGAATAATTATAAATGGAGATATATGCTGTGACAGAAATAAACAGATGTCCGTGAGTGATAATAATACATGGGGGTATAATTTAAAAAGGGTAGTTGCTTTGTACTGAATTTTTGCGTCCCACCCACAATGTATAAGTTGAAGCTTTGATCCTCAATGTGATAATATTTGGAAGTGAGCCTATGGGAGGTAATTAGGTTTAGATGAGGTAATGAGGGTGGGGCCCCATGATAGGATTAGTGCCTTTATAAGAAGAGCTAGGAGAGAGCCGACTGGAAAGAAAGGTGGCTATCTGCAAACTGGGATGAGGACCTTCCCCAGAACCTGACCCCGATCTCAGACTTCCAAACTCCAGAACTGGGAGAAATAAGTATTTGTTGTTTCAGCCGCCCACACTATAGCAGGTTGTTACAGCAGCCTGAACTGAGAGAGAAATTGGTACCGAGAAGTGGGGTGTTGCTGTAACAAATACCTAAAAATATGGAAGTGGCTTTGGGCGTGGGTAGAGGCTGAAAGAGTTTTTATGTGCATTCTAGAAAAAGTCAATATGTCCATAAAGGGATTTTAAAGGCAATTCTGGTGAGAACTAAGAAAGAGGAGAGCTATAGAGAAAACTTCCATCTTCTTAGATAATACATAAGTAATCATGTACAGAAATGTTGGTAGAAATACAAATGGTAAAGGCCATTATGATGAACTGAAAATAAATTCAGAATTTTTCTTTCTAGAATAATAAAAATAAAAATATCTTCTTAATTATATAAATTACCCATTCTGATATTTAACATCTCTTTCTCTTAGGAAATTCTTCTTTTTAGCTTCCCAAAATCTTTCACACTGCAGTTATAACCCATAACTTTTGAGTAAATGCTTTCAACAGAGATCAAATTATCAAGAACCTTTAAGATAAAAATATTGAAATGTATAATAAAAGCATGCATTTATATATCAAAGGAGAAATAAATACATTACACAAAGTATTACCTGTTGATTTGTTTTCTTGATTTTTTATATTTGTTGGCGCAGCATGTAATCTTAATTTTAACTTCTCAAAATCACTCTTTCTCGGTTTAGGCTTATTTTTTAAGGAGACATAGCTGGAAAATAAAATTAATGTAATTAAAATAATCAGAAAATGTATAAAGCTAATCTAAAAAATAAATTTGGCCCTAACCAGTTTGGCTCAGTGGATAGAGCATTAGCCTGTGGACTGAAGGGTCCAGCTTTGATTTCGATCCTGGCATGTACCTTGGTTGCGGGCACATCCTCAGTAGGGAGTGTGCAGGAGGCAGCTGATTAATGTTTCCCTCTCATCAATGTTTTTAACTCTCTTTTTCTCTTTATTGGTACCAAGCATTTTATTTCTTCTAAAAATTTCCTTTCAGTCCTCTTATATTACATAAATTGTTTCTAACTCTCTATTCCTCTCCCTTCCTTTCTGTTAAAAATCAATAAAATATATTAAAAAATAAATTTGGAGAACTGTGGTGATGTCCCTGTTATATAGATTTGGATGTTTTTGTGTTAATATATTATAGTAAAAAGTGTAAAAGATTGGGACTGATAAGCAGGAGCTGAAAAAAACTAGTGATATTCACTCAAAGTAAGAAGAGACAGGAAACTGCTATTGTCATAAAATTGAGGGCAGTTAAGAAAGCGGTTGTTCAGGAGCTTTTAGAAAAATATGCTGGAAAGTGATAAATGAGATACTGGGGACATTGCCATGAATCAATGTGATGAAACATGGAGTTAGGATCAGTTCAGATACCAGATCACAGCATTTATCCTATGTATTAAAAAGGTAATGTGCAGATAGATGGAACAGCAGAATGACCAGAATGCCTGGGGCCACTTGCCCTGGCCAGCCTCCCAGTGCCCCCCCCGCCCCATCAGGGGCAGGGCCAGCTGGCAAACGGCATATGGCCCCTCTCCCTGACAGCTCCAATGGCCCTCCCACTCTGATCGGTATGTAAGAAAGTTAATGGTATATAATTCATGATATTTCTGACCTCTAAATGCTTATAATCCATGATTCAATCCTTAGACCTCAGACACTCACCTGTAGTTGGTATTACCCAATCCCACACCTTTAAATATTACCTATACACTTGGTCCTTGGGTTACATTGGAGATCCAATCCCACGTGACGTAAGATGGTTTTTGCCATAAGTCAGAACCAACCTATATAAGCACCTATGTCACTCACATGGAGCACATACACAGCAGTGATGAAGTGAAACAATAAAAAAATTTAAAAGATAACAATTCCTGACCTTTATCTGTGGCAAATAAGTAATAAAAAACATAAAGCACATATGTACATATGTCAAAATGATGGAACTTTTTTATAAAGACTGTAAATGGGAGATGGTGACATAAGTTGAGTCTGATGTAACCTGAGGATTGCCTGTTATACTGATGTCCCCATATACAGACTAGACCCCAAACTCTTGCTTGAACTCCAGATTTATATTTTTAACTGCTACATGACTTCTGCATTTAGGTGTATTATAACCATCTCAAACTTACGATATTTTAAACGAAATTTTTGCTTACACCTTCTTCCCAGTCGGCTTCCTCTTCTCCATTCAGGCAGAGGCTTAGTACAAAAATTCTAGTCATCTTTGATTTCTTTCTCTCATTCCCTATTCCCAATCTGTTAACAAATCTCACTAGAGATTTGTTTATTATAGTCACCATGCTACTACATCTCTAGGACATTTACCTTATAACTGGAAATTTGTACCTTTTGATCACTTTCACTCATTTCACCAGCTATGTTCTTTGTGAGTAGAGTTGGCCAGAAAATAATGAGAGAGAAGATGGTGACAATGGCCAGATAAAAAATTTTGTTGTTTCCCTCTTCCTCCTCCATTACTCCTATATAGGAGGGTGCTGGAAAATATTTAATAACTTTTCCCCTAATGTTAGTTGATATTTTCATTTACATTAAGAAATAATACTGCCAAGACCGATTTAGCTCAGTGGATAGAGCGTCAGCCTGTGGACTGAAAGGTCCCAGGTTCGATTCCGGTCAAGGGCATGTACCTTGGTTGCGGCCACATCCCCAGTAGGGGGTGTGTAGGAGGCAGTGATTCCGTGTTTCTGTTCCATCGATGTTTCTAACCCTATCTCTCTCCCTTCCTCTCTGTAAAAAATCAATAAAATATATTTTTAAAAAAGAAAGAAATAATATGAAAGTGAACAATGAAAACATATATTGGTAAAATAAATAAATAAATAAATAAATAAAAATAATTAAAAAAAGAAAAGAAAACATATATTGGACCTTCACATATTCAACAATGACATACGTTACTTCTTTGCTGAGACAGAGAATAGTTTTTTGAATATGAGAAGAATATTTCCACAATTTTAATTTTTGCTATTTAAAGTATAATGGTTACAGGCAAGAGACATACTTTTAAGTTTAATGTTCATCATTAACATTTACTCCTTAACTTTTTTAAATCTAGACATACAATATATACAAATTTGATTTGTTATATTTGTCAATTTTTATGATGAAAATATTTCCAAGGTTGATTTCAAGCTACCAGTGGGACATCATTGAATGTGGAACTGGGAAAAAATGTGTAGTAGCATGATAATACATAATAGTTTACCATATGGATACAATACATGTAAATAATATCAAGGCTATCCTACTTAATAAAAGTATAATATGCAAATTAACCATCACTCTGCTCAAGTCACGCCCACAAACCATGCCCAGCAGCCAATCAGAATGAGTATGCAAATCAACCCCAACCAAGATGGCTGCAGTCACAGAGAGCAGTTGAGAGACTTGGGTTTCCCCAACAAAGAGGAATTTATTTTTCCCCTTTGGGATGCTGGGGGGCATGGCCGACCTGCAAACCAACACAGGCCCCTCGCCCAGGCCACCCCACACTCCAATAGAATCCCCACCCTGATCCATGACACCCTTCAGGGCAAACTAACTGGCCCCCATCTATGCACCAGGCCTCTCTGCTATCTAATAAAAGAGTAGTATGCAGATTGACCATCAATCACTCCAACACACAAGATGGCTGCCCCCATGTGGTCAAAGATCCTGCCTCCATGTGGACGCAAGATGGCTACCACAAGATGGCCAGCAGGGGTGGGCAGTTGGGAAGGACCAGGCCTGCAAGAGAGGGCAGTTGTGGGTGATCAGACAAGCAAGAAAGGGCAGTTGGAGGGGATCAACCCTGCAGGGGAGGGCATTTAGGAATGGCCAGGCTGATAGAGGAAGGAAGTTGAGGGCAAACAGACTGGTAGGGGAGCAGTTAGACATCAATCAGGCTGATATGTGAGTGGTTATGGGGTTATCAGGCTGGCAGGCAGAAGTGTTTAGGGGCAATCAGGAAGGCAGGCAGGTAAGCAGTTGGGAACCAGCAGTCTTGGATTGTGAGAGGGATGTCTGACTGCTCATTTAGACCCAACATCCCTCAAGGGGTCCAATATTGGAGAGGATGCAGGCTGGGCTGGGGGACACCCCCCAACTCCGTGCACGAATTTCATGCATCGAACCTTTAGTAGATAATAAAAAGTAATAAAATAATTAGGAAGTGATAAATTTTGAGTAATGTCTTTGTTTTTAGTATATCTTTGAATTCTTAGTTTACATAATTTGATTTTAATTATAAGTGTTTAATAACCAGTTTCTTTCTTAAAAGTAGGTGTGAAGGACTATGAAAGGTCTGAGACTTGACCTTACTTACAAACTAACAAGTTAGCGTGTCAAAGTTTTATCTATGCTGGCAGAAAACATGAGACTCCTGGATTAGAGGCATAGGACCATTTGTTATTCATAGAAAAAAAGCAACAAGCAGAGTGCCAGATGACACCTGCACACACAATTGGTTATATCACAGGAATGGAACCCTAGCTTAGGGAACCCAAATTTTTATAATGGACAGTAACATGCCTGCTCTTGCTCAGAAGACAGTACTATCTCTGTCTTCCAAGGCTGTTTGCTACATAAACATCCTGAAATGACTGTCAGAAAGACAGCCAGTTCCTCTGCTCATACAATATATAAAAATATAAGAGACTATGAAGAATTTTCTCCCAACAGTATGAAAAATGAATGAGAAAGCTAAGAGCCTAGAAATAAAAACTGTGTTTAAAGCACTGGTTTCTCATATAATATGAGAAATAAAACTTGGAATTATAAATTTTGTGAGTTAATTCCCAGTTCAAGCGTTTTTTTCTGGCACCATAAACAATTTCAAATGCATTTTTGTATAATAAAGTTTGTATCTTTGTATTATTCATAGTCATATTTCATTTTATTTTGGATAAAATATTTCTTCAAGTAAGTTCCTCAGAAAGAATACATAGGCAGATGACATTCTAAAATCTTTCATTTTCAAAAATATTATTCTCAAATATAAATGATGACTTATCCAAATAGGGGATTCCAGGATTGTCATTCAGTTCAAAGGTTGAAAACTGTTTTTCTGTTTTCCAGCTTTAGAAATGCAGATGAGACATATGAAACTCATTTTATTTCCTTTTCTTTGTAATTAACCAATGTTTTTTCCTGACTTTGGTATAATTTTTCCATAAGTCTAGCACTTGGTAATCCTTTTGATCTGAAAATTCATATCTGCCTTCAAAAATGGGCATATTTTTCTAATATTTTTTTATTTTCTTACCATTTGTTTCTCTCTCTCCTGATTTATGTATTAGGTATATGTTTAGATATTGATTATCCTGAAACCTTACTAAGTATATTTTCAATCTGATTCCCATTTCTTTCTTTCTTTCTTTTTTTTTAAAAATATATTTTATTGATTTTTTACAGAGAGGAAGAGAGAGGGATAAAGAGCCAGAAACATCAATCAATGAAAGAGAATCATTGATCAGCTGCCTATTGCGCACGCCCTACTGGGGATGTGCCCTCAACCAAGGTACATGCCCTTGACCGGAATTCAACCTGGGACCCTTCAGTCTGCAGGCCAATGCTCTATCCATTGAGCCAAACCGGTTTCGGCCCATTTCTTTCTTTTTTTAAATTTTTGTAAGGTTGTGTCTCTCTTTGATCTTCTAGATTATTAATCCAATTTGCAATTGTATTCTATTTTTAAATTTTCCTACTCAGTTTTTGATTGTGAAATGCTTTTTTAAAACCCCCTTCCCCACCCACTCATTATTTGTCCTCAAGATACATATTTTCTAAGGTTCTCTTCTGCTTCCTCTTATAAATACTCCTTATTTAGGGGATATCTCTTCTAGTTGTCCTCACCTCCCTCCTTCATGTGAGGCCTCCTGAGATTTCTCCTTGACTATTCATTTCAGTGAGTTTTTATCCCTTCAGCACCTATGAAGGTCAAGTGATTCTTCCATTTATCTAAAAAAATTCTTTTTTTAATTTTAAAATTTTTATTGTTTAAAGTATTGTATGTTCCTTTTTCCTCCATTGACCTCTCCCCATTCATTCCTACCTCCCCTAAAAAAAAATTCTTAATCTACCTACTTGCCCTAACTTACTATTTCTCACTACTTTATACATGGTAAAATTGCCATTATCAGACGATAATCCAGCACTGAATGCTTAAGTAATGAAAAAAGTCACTTCATCTCTCTTACTAAAATTCCTTATTACAGGTGGTTTTCTAAAGAGACTTTTGTTAAAAAGAGCATGGCTCTTTTGTGAAAGGTCCAATTATAAAAAGTTGCAGAGAAGATCGTTTTTGTGTTTATTGAGAAATATTAAAGACTCTATCCCAATTAAATAATAAGGACTGGGAGATATTTTTGAAAGATTATAAAACTTTGCTTATCAGAAAAGTGATCCAGGTGATAAAGGCTATCAGTTCCTATTTATCTAAGAGAGATGCAGAAATCTCGAGCTAATAATAACATAGAAAAATGTCTCTGGCAGTTACTGACAAAGAAGCCTTAAGAATTTAATGATTTTTCAATCTTACCTTTATATAGGAATCATCTCTGGGAAATCTTAAAAATAGTAATGGCTGGGCAGCACTCCAAACCGATTAAAGTAGAACCCAATTATTTTAAAGCTCCCCTGGTAATACTAATGTACATACTGGTATGTGTTGGAAATGACTACTCTGAAAGCAAAGCTCAGCTGCAAATAAACCCGGGCACGTTTGATCACCGCCTGTTGCTATGATATCCAGTAAGCCAAGGAAAAGAATGGAACGAATGCTGGTATTAGGCACTACGATTACAGTGGGACATACAGAGCAGTGACTCAAAGGGTGATACCCCGAGCAGCAACGTCAATGTCAGTATTACCTGGAAACTTACTGAACATGCAAATTATCAGGCCCTTACTGTATCAAAAGCTCTGGAGGCGGGGCCCAGCAACCTGTGTTTTAGCAAGCCCTTCGTGTGTGAGAACCTCTGCGCTAAAGGGAGTGTTGCTTTGTTGTTAGTGTCCATAGGAATCACTTGTAAGATCTTGTTGACTGTAGCTTCTGTCTAGGAAGGGGCTAGAGTTTCTGCCCTTAAAACAAGTTCCCAAGTGACACGGATGCTGCTTGTTGGAAGGCCACACTTTGAACAGCAAGAGGCTAGAGATCAAAAAAGAGCAGGCAGTGTCTGGTAGGAGGTGGCAGTCTTGGTGTAAACTTGAGGCCAAGCTGGAAGCTGTGTGGACTGGATCTGACACCTTGGCTAGGTGTTGGAGTGGGGTTTGTGAGCATTGGTGGAGACTCCTAGCTTGGTTATTATTAACCTAGATTTTCAGCCCAGGAGCTGCAGCTCAAGATTTGGAGGAACTGAATCTATACAGTTTAACCGTATAACCAGCATAGCATTCTCCATATGAAGATGAAAACTTTCTGCCTTATGCTCTGCTATTTAAGCAAATATAGACAGAGCAAAATTAAGCAGTCTATATTATATTTTGCTCTGTCTAGAAAAGAACTCATGGCAAGATGGGATGCCTCCCAGAAGAGGCAGTTTCTAAAGATAATATGACTTTAGTAAGGGGTCGGGTTTTCTGAGGCGCCTTCATCATTTTTAATGACCTCTTTTGCTGTTTTTAATGATATTTCTAAGATCCAAATCTGCCTATGCATTGACCTGTGTAAACCTTTTGGTCGCTTCCTACTGGTTTTGACCAAAGCTGTTTTGTAGGTTCATAAGGCCTTTGGTGATCTGGCCTTTGTTTCCTCTTTAGCCTCACTTCTTTAGCTTTCACCTGCCCTCCCCGTATTCAAGTCTAGCAACAGTGAATTACTTTTGATTTCTCAAATGAAGCGAGCTTTTGAAAGGGCAGGGCAGGGCTAACTCCTGATCCTCCATTTTGTAACTGAACCCTAGCCCTCACCCAACCAATCGGGGTCAGCCAAGCAGTGACATCACCACCTCTATAAAACCCATTGATCTGTTGAAGCTTGCTCTCTCCCACCTCGCCACTGTCTGTGTAAGTGGGACAGAGCCCATGCTAGCATGGAATAAAAGGCTCTTTTGGGTTTTTTTTTGCATTGGACTCGGCTCCCTGGTGGTCTTTGGGGATCACGAAATCTGGGCATAACACTTTCCTTTGACTCTATTGGTTAAAGTTTAAAATAAATCCTGATAATCTGTGGCCATACAGCATGGCTCAAGAAAGGCCTTCCTTTAAAAATTCAGAATTGTAATTACTATCTGTAGTAGTGAAATAATATAATGAATATTTTATAAACTTTTTAAAAAATATATATTTTATTGATTTTTTACGGAGAGGAAGGGAGAAGGATAGAGAGCTAGAAACATGAATGAGAGCGAAACACTGACTAACTGCCTCCTGCACGTCCCCCACCAGGGATGTGTCTACAACCAATGTACATGCCCTTGCCCAGAATCGAACCTAGGACCTTTCAATCCGCAGATCAACGCTCTGTCACTGAGCCAAACCGGTTTCAGCAATATAAACTATTTTTAATGCTTATCTAGCATATTCTACCATAACTCATAACCATTATGAAATATATCTATGTTTGACAAAGCTTACATTAATATAGACTGCAAAATATAAGACAAATCTAAAGTAATACTTTAAAATTCCAAGTTGAAAGTTTGAAGTAGTTACTATGGTTACCTTTTAGTTTTTGTAATACTGTGTGGCTTGTCTTCTCTGCTCTGTGATACTGTCACAGATGTAGATGTAGCAGAAATAGCCTCTTTGGATTCCAATTGAAAATCAAATGTCAGGGGTCTAACAAAAGTCTTCCTTATGTAACTCTGAACACTGTTTTCCTGCAACAAAGACAAAGTTTTAACACCTTAAAAAAAAGAGTGCTTTTCATATAGGGAAAATCCTGTGTGGAAAGGACAAAATTCACCTCACTTTACACACACACACATACAACACACACACATCACACACACACATCACACACACACACACACACACACACCACACACTCACACACACACTCTCACACACACACACACACACACACAACACACACACACACACACACATAAACACCACACACTCACACACACCACACACACACACATACACACACTCACACACACACCACACACACACACTCACACACACACACCACACACACACTCACACACACACTCACACACACTCACACACACACACTTTATGTGTAGTCAATAATGGAAAAATAATACAGATTGAAAATTGGGGTCCTTGTACACCAATTTTTTATGTCACTGCTGTGTGACCTGAGCTGCTCTTTGCCTATATATGAAATGAGGGTGTTGGACTAGATAATGGTGAAGGCTCCCTCCTAATTCCCAAATTTAGAAATTAGGAACAACCTATATCTTTAGGAAAGACAATGTTGATATATAGAGTTATTGGAACCATAGCAGGCCTGTTTCTCCAACCTGTTCCTCTTCCTGACACCACACATGTGTGAAGATCACATAATTTGGCTAGTAGCATGAGCAAGTACTTGAGTTAGAAAGCAATCAAAGGAGAACTTTGTTCAAATATTTACATAGATGGACAGAAGGGGAATAAGGAGTGCTAAAGAGTAAACTAAGGAGCCAAAAATCTTCTATAAAAAATTATCTCAGAGAACAGCACAGAGGAACAAAGAGATAAAAAAAAAAATTAAAGCAAATCAAAGTATATGAGATCTTTTGCTTCTGCCAATGAAGTTAGATTAAGCACTATGGGAATTGCCTTTCTGCTTCAAACTACTTAGAAAACCAGACAAAATATAGGAAGACAGCTAGAAGCAGGCATTAGAAAACAAGCAGAGCCACAATCCCTGAAAACAGGGGAAACAAATGAGGTAAAACCTACTATAGCCCAGTTTATGTCTCGGAGGCAGTTTCCAGGCTGAGGTACAGGGAAGGGGAACTCAAACCAAACCTTGCGGCCTTGACCTTGTTGAGTTTAAGAGACAGATTTCACCAGCAATCACTCTTGGGCATTCACTCCAGAGATATTTGTTTACTTAAAAACCTGTAACAAATATTCATAGCTGCTTTATTTTACCTTATTTTTTAGCAGCTTTATTTTTAAAAGCAAAATACCTGCAAACGATCTATTGAGGATATATGTCCTTCAATGGGTGATTAACTGAAACTCTGTATATTCATATAATGGAATACTACTCAGCAATAAAATTTATATATCTTATCTAATAAAAGAGTAATATGCAGATTGACCATCACTCCAACACTCAAGATGGCAGCCCCCATGTGGTCAAAGATGGCTGCCCCTATGTGGACACAAGATTGCCACTACAAGATGGCCAGCAGGGGAGGGCAGTTGGGAGGGACTTGGCCTGCAAAAGAGGGTAGTTGTGGGTGATCAGGCCAGCAGGGAAGGGTAGTTGGGAGGGACCAGGCCTGCAAGGGAGGGCAGTTGGAGGCAATCAAGTCTGCAGGGGAGGGCAATTAGGGGTGACCAGGCCTGCAGAGAAGGGCAGTTAGGAGTGACCAGGCCTGCAGGGGAAGGCAGTTAGGGGCAAACAGGCTGGCAGGGGAGAAATTAGGCATCAATCAGGCTGGCAGGGGAATGGTTAGTGGGTGATCAGCCTGGCAGGCAGAAGCAGTTAGGGACAATCAGGAAGGCAGGCAGGTGAGCAGTTGGGAGCCAACAGTCCTGGATTGTGAGAGGAATGTCCGACTAGCATCGGGCCTAAACAGGCAGTCAGACATCCCTCAAGGGTCCCAGATTGTAGAGAGTGCAGGCTGGGCTGATCGACACCTCCCTCCCCCCTCACCCCATGCACAAATTTTGCGCACTGGGCCTCTAGCTATTTGTAATAATAAAGCTATTGATTTGTATAATATCTTAGATGGAACTCAAGGGCATTATGCTTAATTTAAAAATCAATGTCAAAATTTTACATACTGCCTGGCCGGCATAGCTCAGTGATTGAGCATCGACCTATGAACCAGAGGGTCCCAGTTCAATTCCCAGTCAGGGCTTGTGCCTGGGTTATGGGCCCCATCCCCCATGTGGGGATGTGCAGGAGGAAGCCTATCAATAATTCTCTCTCATCATTGATGTTTCTACATATCTCTCTCTATCTTCCTCTCTGAAATCAATAAAAAAATATTTTTAAAAGTTTACATACTGAATGATTATATTTATATAACATTCTCAAAATTACATTATGATAGAGATAGAAAACAGATTAGCCCTTGTCAGGGATAGAGACAGAGAATGGGGTGAAGGCACGGATACAAATACAAAGAAGTAACACGAAGGAGTTACTTTGTGGTGATATAAACATGCTGTATTTTGATAATATTGCATAAAGCTACACATACAAATGACCAAATGAATGCAGGTTAAATGGGGAAAATTGAATAAAGCTTGTAATCTGGATAACAGTAATATAACAATTTTATTAATATCAGTTGTGATGCATACTGGTTTTGTCATTGTACAATTTTATCCCATTATAGATGTGTGTAACCAGCACCACAGTCTAGATCCACACTGTGTAAGATGTCACTAACTGGGGCGACTTGGTGAAAGGTACCTGGGACTCTTTGTACTGTTTCTTCAACTTCCTGTGAGTCTATAATTATTTCAAAATAAAAAAAAGTTTTAAAAAATTAAAAAAGCAATTACCAAAGTGATTTACACATTGTTATCTCATTCCTGGTCATTAATAAAGCAGAGAGAAGCAATCCACTGTCATAAAGATGTTTATTCTCTTGAGCTCCTCTCTTGTGGTGACTTCTTTGACTTCTCCTGCACGCTCTTACCCATGCCTCACTTACTCACATTGTCATTTATTTTGCAAGTTTTTGTGTAAACAAATTAAATTGTTCATATGCACTAAAAATCTGTTTTGTGTGGACTTTATTCTTCATTGTTCTTTATCACCCTTCATTTATTGAATTTTCTAGGAGTCTTGCCTGTTTACTTAAATTAATTTCTATGAGTCTTAATTATTTTTAATTTGGTAACTATACCAAATACCAAATAATAAACTATTAAAAACATATATTTATTTATTTCAGAGAGGAAGGAAGAGAGAGAGAGAGAGAGAGAGAGAAACATCAATGATGAGAGAGAATCATTAATCGACTGCCTCCTGCATGCCCCTTACTGGGGATCAAGCCCACAACCCGGGCATGTGCCCTGACTGGGAATTGAACTGGTTCATAGCTGAGCTACTGGCCAAGCACCCCAAGTAAATAATTTTTAACATGTTTAACATATTAGTAAGAATAACAGGTGTAGCCCTAGTCAGTTTGACTCAGTGGACAGAGCATTAGCTTGCGAACTGAAGGGTCCCAGGTTTGATTCCAGTCAGGGGCACATTCCCAGTTGTGGGCTCAATCCCTTACAGGGGTGTGCAGGAGGCATCCAGTCAATGATTCTCTCTCATCATTGATGTTTCTATCTTTCTCTCCCTCTCCCTTCCTATCTGAAATCAATAAAAATATATTTTTTTAAAAAAATAACAGGTGCAGTCACATTTACTATTTGACTGCCTAGTATCTTAAGCAGTTTAAATACATCATAACCTAATATGGCTCCTATCTAGAAGTTACCTTATATTTAATTAATTCTTTATAGCGCATCCACTTGCACAGATGACTCAACTAACATATTTGTTTTTACAAATTAATTTATATCTTCATATTAACTAAGAAGTAAAAATAATCACTTACATTTGAAATGAAAACCTTTTAATACTTAAATTAAATCTTAGCTTTTATTTTACAAACCTTTATTCTTGTGGCCAAAAGTACCTTTGCTTGCTCATTTAGAATTTCTAACTTCTTTACAATTCTTTCTGCCATTGTCAATCAGTAAATTTCTATTTAAAAAGGAGAAAAATAAAACAATTTAAACATATTATTGACTTGGCATAACAAGAGACACCTTTATTTTACTGTTTTAGGTAAAAAATAAAAAACTGTATAAATAGATCATGGAATAAATCATAGAAGTGTAGAGATCAAAGCTTTTAGGTAGAAAGTCACATAATCAGAACTCTCAGATGTTTGTGGGCCCTGGGAATTTTTAAATGTATGATAAGGTGAGTTGAAGAAAATTCAAGATTACCATATGAGAAGCAGATGTGACTCATACTTTTTTTTTTCTCTTCTTTTTTGTTCTTTTTGTGACTCATACTTGAATATGCAGAGTGACTTATATCTATTTTCTTTTGTCATGATATAATTTTAATAAAAGTAAAGAGCTCACATTTATATAATCACGTGCATTAAAATTTAATTGATTGGTGATCTAAAACTGTTAATATGGCACTTCTTTTCCCCCTCTGTGTTTCTTAAAGGTAGAAACCATGCTTAATTCATCTTTGCATCCCTAATACCTAACAACCGAAATGAATGAATTAACCATCAGCAATAGAGGAAATGGACAACTGTAAATGCTATGACTGCTTTTAGCCTGCATTTACACTCATAAAAATACACAAATCTTTGACAGAGTTCTATTAAGGTCTTTCTAGAGCAAACCATAGTATTAAAAAACAAAACAAAACAAAAACAAAAAAACATTGTTTTCTCTCCCATCTTCAAACCTAGAAAGGCAGCATGGTGTCCTGGTTAGGAACATGAACGCTAAAGTTTGAATCCTTGGCTCAACTACTTACCAGCTGTGTGACCATGAGCTAACTGCCTAACCTCTCTGTTTCCCCATCTGCAAAGTGGGGATAATAAAAGTACATACTTCCGCCGAAACCGGTTTGGCTCAGTGGTAGAGCGTCGGTCTGCGGACTGAAGGGTCCCAGGTTCGATTCCGGTCAAGGGCATGTACCCGAGTTGCGGGCACATCCCCAGTAAGGGGTGTGCAAGAGGCAGCTGGTCGGTGTTTCTCTCTCATCGACGTTTCTAGCTCTCTATATCTCTCCCTTCCTCTCTGTAAAAAATCAATAAAATATATTTTTTTAAAAAAAGTACATACTTCCATTTGTCCACCATCCAGAACTGAAATATAATCGCTGACATGTACACATAAGGAACTGTTTGACATCGAAATTGAGTCTCAAAAGAACTGGTGGCCCAGAAAGAAACTCACTACAGACTAATTCATATGCTTTCAGCATAACGATTAATGCTTGTCTCATTTTTGATTCTTATATTTCTAGTAGGACATGATCTCACTCATCTAGGGGAAATGGTGAACAACATAGACTGATGAACAAGAACAGACCCAGAGATAAGGAGTCATGGGTCAGACTGTTGGACCTCAGAGGGAGGGTGGGGATAAAAGGGAGGGATCAACCAAAGGACTTATGTGCATGCATATGAGTCTAACCAGTGGTCAAGGACAATAGTGGGGTGGGGGCATTAGTAGGGAGAGTGGGGGATTGGAATGGGGGGTTGAGGGCAAATATGTGATACTTTAATCAATAAAGAAATTAAAAAAATAAATAGAGGTAATATGCAAATTGAAATATATATATATATATATATATATATATATATATATATATATCCCCCCCATGGGATTGTTATGAGGTTTAATTGAGTGAATGTAAATAACATATTGTGGGGAAGCATGAGACTTCGTTGAAAAGTTTGTAAGGAGAACATTCGAGAAAAGAGAAGTGTGTCGAAGGCCGCCTGCACTGTTTGTGGGGATTCCAACTTAGGGGTGTGCCGAAGGAAGTGCCCCCAATTACTCCTTGACCTTTCCAAACAGGTCTGTGCTCATGCTGACCCCCAGGTGTTCACTGGAATCCTTATGCTTAGCCTTTAGGTGTCCTTACTTAAAGGACATTATAGACACATTTGTCCTCCCAATATTACTTACCTTGCTGATTGTCTCTAAAAGATAAACTTTATCTCAAACTGCTATTACAATAAAAACCTAATGAGACAGGCAATCAAGGTTGTCTGGTTCCTCTAGCCAGGCAGTCCCTTAGCCCTCTCTTTCACAGCAAACATTATGTCAGAGTAATCCAGTCATCTGTCCCTCAGGGTCTGCTGATCAGCCCCAGCAACACATAAATGTTTGGCAAATAAAAGAAATGAATATAAGTAATGATATACTTACAAGTTAGGAACAAGATATGTAATATTATCTATTAGTGCTGCAAAATGCATGTTCTCCATCTGTATGTCATTTTGCTTTTTTTGTCATACCTGCCACGTGCATTCACCAATGATATCCATATATCTGGTAGCTTACTTGTTTCCTTCACAGTATATTTCTAAATCCTTGGAACTTAGGAAACAATAATAATCTATTCAGAAAGTCTGTATCTTCTATTTTGGTATGGCAATTCAGTATCTTCTGTACCATCATTTGATTATTTTGCTTCTTTTTCTTTTCTAATTTTCTCACAGTTTTACTTCTCAGTTTTCTATTAAATCCTTATTCTGAGCTCAGTGAACAGAAACTAAAATGCACTGTGTGTTATAAAGCACAAATGTAGGCCTCCTATTTCGGGAGACTACTATGATAATCATTACTTTGTTTCCAAACTGGAAACACACACACAAAAAAATTAGTTTGTGCTCGAGGAAATAGACCTAATTATCTACCATTTCAACTGATATAATAACTGGGTGGGAGAGATGATCTCACTTCTTAAATATGTAGAGATATGTCTGAAGCATTCTTAGAGATACTTAGAGTTGTGGGGAAATGCCCTCTTCTGGGAGTATAGAGTTCTTCTGTTGTCAGAGAAGACCAACTCATAGAATTTTGAGGTCAGAATGGGTCAACAGCCTTTCACATAATTCCATGAACAATGAGGCAATGTTGACCCCAACTGGACAAGACCTTCCAAGTCCTTACTTTTATTTCCATTGCCATTGTCTTCCTTCAGACCTTCTGGTTTTCACTTTCCCTCCTCTAGATTATTGTACTTTTACTGTCTCCTTATCCTTCCCCTCCTTATCTCTCAAATATTGATCCTTCAAAATGCCATCAGAACTGTGTTCCTTAAACTGGACACTGGTCAAATCCAGCTCCAGGCCACAAACCTCGACTTGCTCCCCATCACCTGCAGAATAACTCATAAACTCTTCAAATGGCATACAAGATGTTTGAGGATCTGGCTCAGTCTGCCTTTCCAGGTCTGCCTTTCCTACCATATCCTGTCTTCTGCAATACTCTACTCTCCTAGCCCCTGAGTGCACTCTGCCGTTTCCTCAGGCATGTCTGTCCTTCACTATAGAACTTGGCGCATCCTCTGACAGATCTCTTTCTCCCTATATTGAAAGCTCATTGAAAGCAACAATTGACTTACTCTCCTCTGAATCTCAGCACCTAACCAGGATCTGAAAATGACAATATAATTTGAAGATGTTTCTGATTATAACGTTTGTGGGGAGTAATCCCAGTTTATCTGTAATATTGTAGATTATGTTAATTCAAGATGATTTACTGGGAGGATAAAATATGAAATTGAGTGAATTATTTTATGGCTGAGAAGCGATGAAATTGAGTGAATTATTTTAAAATGTAGTTCTTGCCAAATCTAAAATGACTTTCAAAGACAATTTGGGTTCATGTTCTTAATTACTCGCTCAGTAATGACAGTTGTTTTGAAAAGAATACAATGAAACAGAGAGCTTGCCAACTAGGGCAGAAGAAAATTCCCAGCGACTTTCAGCATAAATCATCCATAGGCCTCACGGCAAAGACTTGGCTATATCAATGAACAATTTCAAGGTTGCTGGGCCAACCCTATAAGCACATTAGAGTCTGAGTCCTTACTAAAAATAACAATATCAAATTAAAAAGTTACTTTTGAGAGAAGAACATTATTTTACAGTTAGAACCTTCTGGATTGTAAAAAATGCAAACAAACGTATGTATTATTTTTGCAGCCAAGTTATTCAAATGCTTCATTGGCCCAAAACATCTTTTTCTTTTTATGGGACTTGAAAAGTCAAAAGCCTCTTTAAAATTTTTTAAAATATCTTTTCATTTGGTATTCAAAAAGTTTTTACAAAAGTACACAAAGCTGTCAATGTAAGGACATCCAAACCTAAAGAGAATTTTTATAAAACTTTATTTGAGCCAAACAGGATATGCCTGGAAGCAAAATCTCAATAGACTGAGAAAATGCTTTTGCATTTGGAATTTAGGAGGGACTCTAAGGAAGATTACACAAAGGTGGGAGAAAGCAAGGAGGGGATTGTTTGACAGGATAGTTAAGAAGATTTTGTGCTCTCTTGAGGGCGGTTTCTCTTCTGAGGGGCCCTAAAGGAGGCATTTAGAAAGCTTGTTAATTTACATGCCCAGAAACAGTGGACAGGGCTTAAGGTAAAGATTAAAAAGAAGTTATATTGAGGGGGAAGGGAGGGCATGACTGCCCATTAGGAACTATGATCAGGTCACTCTGTGAGGTTACTTTTTGTAGAACCCCTTTTTCATTCACAAAGCTAAAGCCTAAAAAATTAACTTAATGATTTCAATTATTAAATTAAAAATAGAAAAGCTGAGAATAGACAAAAGAAATATTGTTGATAATTTGATAGTAATTCCTTTAAAATGCTTCTATTCTCTAGTCCAGGTTGTGGCACTTTTATCTGAGGGAAGGACCACAGCACATTTTTGTTGACTACAAGCTTGAACCTTTCCAGTTCATCTGATCTCGAAGACATTTTACAAAATCAATGTAAGCAATTGGTTTTGATCCCGAGGCAGGAAAAATCTGAAATGAACAAGACATATTAAATTTGACTTCAAGACTCCTAAATACAGATTATATCCTGGAGTAGAAATAATGTATCAGTTGCTCTTATGACTCATAAAATCAGATGTAAATATTTTTATTGCTCAAAACTACTGAGGATACATCCAACTGAATCAAAAC